CCAGAACCTCATCGTTGTAACCTGCAAGCTGAGGATGGCAGAATAGGAACAGTTTAACAGGGAAAAGTCAGCTGGTTAGAGACATACTGCATGGCACTGTGCTCAGTGAGGCTGTGTTACCATGACCTTTCATGTAATACTGCATGTAAAAACCATATTAGACATAAGCTGAAGCACGGGAGGGATTTCTGGCCAGGCCTCTTCTGCTTTCTTTTTCCTACGTTTGTCTCTGTGCAATATTCCTCCAAACCACCCCACCAGTGAAATGGGCTTTCTGGCTTGTAACCAAGGAACAGTTCAAGTACAGGCAGGAGAGGAGGGCACTCCTGGACAAAGCTTTCACCAGAAGCAGAGCTGATCCTCAAGCACAGATAAAGGAAGAGGAAAAGGGAGGCTGAGGGTTGTTACCTGCTTCCTGAGCTGAAGAGTTTGAGCATCATATAAAACAATGTTGTGTTCCACAGACACCGTGACAATCTCATTTCTCTCGGGCACAAGCATGCACTGGGTGAGACTGCGCTCGCTGGCCTCCTCCTTCAACTCAAAGGGCACAGGCTGGGTATACACGCAAGCAGCTGTGGCAACTTCCCAAACTTTCAGGATACCTAATAAAAATGATGATATAAATGATCTGTCAGAGCCACTGTTTTAGACAGTGATTGTCCAAAGAATATAAACCTGGCCTTGCCTACTGGAAAAAGCTACGCAGCTTTAAGACGTGACTGCAAAGAGATCCAATCACAGTGGCACGAAGGGCCACAAAATTTTTCTTCTTTAGCCCAAATCAAACTTTATTGTAGTTTGAAGACATATACAGTTAAAGCTCTGCAGCGTGCCTGATCAATCCTGCTCATCCACTACTGCCAGAGCAACTCAGGAGCAGGCTCTGCTCTCCAGCCCTCAGGAGTTCAGCCTGAGGCTCCTGCCACACAAAGAACACACATCCCAGGAATAATGTCTTAAGTACAGTCCTTTCTCAGCCTCCAAATCTGGCAGTGACGTGCCAGGACACTCACCTTTGCTGCCAGCTGTGACAAAGTGCAACCCTTGTTTCTTCACACCCAGCTGAGAGAAATCTCCCTTTTCAGGTAACAAGATGGCAGCTTCCACGCTCTGCAAGAGAGTTAGCCAAACACCAGCTGAGTGCAGGGGCCCCGAGTCCTGATTCAGCAACCAGAACAGTGCAACAGCCCACCAATGCCGACAGATGCACACACACCACACTCTGCTGCCCCAGACTGCATGGCTGCTGAGGACAGGCGGGCAGATACAATGAGAGAACAAAGTTTTTCCATGACTGTCCTTCTTTCCCTCCTCCAGCACTGAGGCAGCAGTGGCATATATTTCCCCAAACTGCCCAGACATGACCACACCAATCAAGGAGAGAAGGCAAATAAACAGCTTTAGACACAGAGTTTTAAGGTCTCTGGAATATACAAGGGAGAGAAACCTGATTTCTTAATATAAACATATGAACTTGAAGAGGGAGAGGTACCACACAAAGTGTAACCTAGAAACTCCAAAGGATCTCAAAGGAATAAATGAAATATGATTTCACCTCATAGACAGGGACGGTTCGTTTGCTTTCTCTGGTTTTCAGGTCCCACACCATGCAGATTTTATCACGGCCAGAACTGCAAGTTAGAAGAGTAATTTCAGCGCTAAATCCATACAACTCAGGCTCTGAGTGCAAACGTGGAGTTGTGGGAAGATGCCCATATGAAAGAAGGCACCAGCCTTCCACGTGACAGCACGGTGTATTGCCAGGAACACCAAATCAGTCACTCGCTTGTATAGGCAAGCAAAGACTGAACACCAGTAGCAGTCCTTCCCCTCATAGGACAACCTTCCCAAACCCTACAGAAACTCCCAGTCTCCAGCAGGAGGCAGGGTTAAGCCTCTGCAAGGTTGTACCTAAGGAGTGTGTTTCCATCTGCAAACGCCAGCGAGGTGACAGCACTGAAGTGGCCATCCAGCACAGCAACACACTTGCTGGAATTCAGGTCCCAGATGCGGATTTTGTAGTCAATGGAGGAGGAGAAGAGTTGCAGACGGGAGGTATCAGGGTGGAACTCAACAAGGCTAGACAGAAAGAGATGCACTTGAACAGGAAAGGAATAAATTATCTGTCATGTTGGCAGTAGCCCAACGTTTAAATAAATACACATTCTACACAATGAGTTCAACAGATCAATTGACATGAATTTATACCAGGACTTTCTTCCCACCAGGAAAATTTACAATTGATCTTTGCGAGTCTTATGCACTCTTGAAGCACAGATATTCCATTTGGATCCCAACAAATTTCTCTCTCAGCCCCTTTCCTTTCTGGGCTGTCAGTCACAGCCCTGCTCCTTCAGTAGACATCTCAAGAATCAGGAAAACAGAAGAGCCCAGAACCTTCTCGGAATGGGCCTTTACATTCCTTTAACTCAAGTAATTTCACATCAATCCCAGCATCCAAGCATCACACTAACGCCAGTGACGGACAAAACCAACTTGTTCTTACTGTACAACTCCTGAAGATCCTTTTAGGTTGTGTGTGCAGTACTGTTTGATCATATCCCAGATCTTAATGGTGCTGTCACAGCCACCTGGGAAAAGAAGGGCATATAAGAATGAACTACAGAGGAGAGAGACACAGGAGGTCCAACATATCAGCAACCATAAAATTTCATGGGTTGCAAAGGCAGCAGAAAGAAAAATGAATCCAATAACAAAAACCCACAGCAAAAGAAGCTCACGGATCACCTTACACTTTCAGAGAGCTGGGCAAAACCTGACTGCTCTCACAGTCAAACCTGGAGTACAATTAAGTTACAGGTCATGCCTGACCTCTGCCATCTGCAAGAGTCCCAGTTCTACACCAGGATAGCTACGCCAAGCTGTCTCATAGATGTCTGATATTTATCAGCGTTTTATTAAGTACATTTTAGACAGAACATTGAAAGTATCCCTTGTTGTTTGTCACGACATTGCTTCTGTCTAAGTAAAATCTCTTCTGGTCGCTTCTGAATTCAGATCACTACCTCGGGCTGTGTCCAGCTGAGCTAAATTATTCAAAAGCAGAAGGGCCACTCAGTATCATTCCCATTGCGTGACACGAAACAGACCATACCTGTGGCTAATAACGTTGAAGTAGAGTCAAAGGCCATGCTAGCAATTGGTGCTACGTGCACGGCTTTCCACGTGCGAACACACTTGTTCTCTCGCCAGTTCCACTGCTTCAGCAACAGGGCTCGGCTCCCCGTCACAAGGATCTATGCAAAAGCAAGGTGAAGGAAAGCGTGATTAACTGCTAATTAGATTTTAATTTCTTTCAGTGCCCACACACGAAGCACAGAAATGCCAATTGCTGTGACACACTTGAAGCTTGGCCTCTCAGCATTCCTATGTCTGACTTGAGCCCAGAAGGTGAGACAGACAGAAATGCCTGAGAAGATTCCGCAGAGATCTTTGGAGGCGCAGGATGCTTCCCGGCAGAGAAGGCCCCAGTGTTCTCTGGCTTTATCAGGAGGCTTGACAGAGCGGCACAGAAAGCCATGCAGCAAACACATACCTCGTCATCGGGGCTAAGAACAAATGAAGTGATGGTCTCTTCATCATCCTATAGAAACAAAAGGAAAAAACCCACAGTTAAAGCCCCTGTGGAGTGGTGTGCCTCTCAGGGTTCCCTTCTCTACGTGCTGAGTGCACCCAGCAGCTCCCGGCTGTGCTTAGGAACAAGACAAATAACATCTGTCTGCGTTTAGAACCATTCTCATCCTCCCCTCCACTTCTTGCTCTTGGGAGCTTTAGAGCAGCAGCTGGTGATAGTGGTAGAATCACAGAATCATTTGACTGGGAAAGACCCCTAAGACCATCAAGCCCAACCGTACCTGACCCCTACTAAACCCTGTCCCTAAGCACCTTGTCTGCCCAGCTTTTAAATACCCCCAGGGGTGGGGACTCGACCCCTGCCCTGGGCAGCCCCTTCCAGGGCTTGACAGCCCTCGCGGGGAAGCAATTTTTCCCCATGTCCAACCTAAACCTGCCCTGGCACAACTTGAGGCCGTTTCCCCTTGTCCCATCGCCCGTTCCCTGGGAGCAGAGATCGACCCCCCTCGGCTTCCCCCTCCTCTCAGGCAGTTGCAGGGAGCGATAAGGGCTCCCCTCAGCCTCCTCTTCTCCAGGAGGAACACCCCCAGCTCCCCCAGCTGCTCCCCAGCAGCCTTGGGCTCCAGACCCCTCCCCAGCTTCCTTGCCCTTCTCTGGACACGCTCCAGCCCCTCCATGTCCTTCTGGGAGTGAGGGGCTCAAAACCACCTCAGGAGCCTTGGAAAATCCTGAGTGGTTTCATCACCAGTCGACAGAGCCCGGGGCTCCTCACCTGTTGGAGGCTGTGGAGAGCTCCTGTTTCCACATCGATGACATTCAGCTTGGTCCCACAGGGGCAAAACATGAACTTTCCATCCCGGTTTATCTGGAGAAAAGGGAACAGGAAGCCAGGAGCGTTTACAGAGCCGTGAGACGGGGTATTCCCAACCCTACCCCAAGCTGCCTCAGTACCTGGACTCGCCCCCCTTTGTAGAAAGGCTCGATTTTCCTCGACACGGCGTAGCTGGAAGGAAAAGAGACGCGCAGACCGGGCGTTAAACCGAAAGGGCGGCGGCCTGGGAGCGCCCGAAGGCGAAGGCGCGGAGCAGCGCCGCCACCCGCGCCCG